AGTTGTTGATTTACATCCAGCGGAATACTCACACAAGCACTCGTTCACTGAAAAGTGTTGCTAGTTAGCGCTTTTTTACTCGTAGTTTGCAGCAACATTTTTGTAAAATTTTCATGGATATATGTATGTTTGTAGCTATGTATGTTTGTTTGTTTGTTCTAAGATACTAAATGCATTCGCTAAAAGATACTTACTTATATGAGTGTAGAAAGTTTTTAGAGTAGTTTCGCGCGTGCGCTTCTCAATAATCCAGTAAAATTATGTAAATGAACATTAACGGGCATTACCCATATTAAATAATTGCTATGATGGGGAGACTGAATGCTCATGCCCGATTCGGAAAAGTTCTACATACTACGTATGTAGGTATACAGGGTTCCTAGGCCTCCCCTCCTCCCTCACCCTCAAATGGAGGGAAATGTTTTTTTTTATTGAAACCCGCAAAAATTTAATAAACAAATCGGGGATGCTCTATATTTTTTGGTGGTATTAACTGGCCGGATTCTGTGGACAAAAATACGCAACATTTGTTTGAATCTTTTTTCTCGAAAGTGCCTTTTTCATCACTTTTTAACAGACGTCCAGAACGAGTTGAAGCTCGAAGGCCATTTAGAGGTACACCGCCTGAACAAAGTATTGGCACAGCAAATTTTTCATAATATATGCAACAATTTTTATTCTAATATTTTTTGCACATTATTATAATAAAATTGATTGGGCTACAAATCTGCATACTCAAAAAAATTCTAAAAAATTTTCTTAAAAAGTTTAAAATTTTCATGAAAATTTGCTGAATTCTCGCGAGTTTTGCACAAAGTTTAGGAATTATATTTTTTTTTTTTTTGTTGTAGAATGAAACATATTTTTATACGAAATTGGCAAAAAAATATTAGAATAAAAATTGTTGCATATATTATGAAAAATTTGCTGTGCCAATACTTTGTTCGGGCGGTGTAGTAAAAGGCACTACCGAGAAATAACTTTCAAACAAAAGTAACGTATTTTTATCCTTAGAATCCGAGTCTGTAGTAAAAACATACATGTGTAATTTAAAAGAGTGGACTTCCGGTCAGTTTTCCGACAAAAGTGGGTATTTCTATGCGTAGAATCCGAATGTGGGGTAAAAAATATGTATATCCCGTCTAAAAAATCGACTTCCGGTCAGTTTAACCCACTTCTAGTCGAAACCGGAAGTCGGGTGTAGGGCATCCAGTATACCTACATTAGGGCGGGTCGATTTGTAGGTGCCAAAAAAAATTAAAGGAGGCACATCGCGATTATGATTATTTGGGTCATTTCAAGCCTTATTGCCCAAGAAACCACAGGTCTAAAGTGAATTTTTGAACATTTTAGTCTAGTGAACATTTTAGGCTATTAAGAAATTTAAACTGCATTATGAGAAAGTCAAATTTCGTGGATTTTCGAAACCATGTTGTCGATTTTCGGAAAAAAGGCGTTAAAATCCAAAAAAAAAGTACGGAAGCGCCCTCTGGCGGCCCTCAAAAGAAAAAATTAATGCCAGAAATGGATTCCTCGACCCCAAAAACCCCCAGATACACATTTTGGCTAGTTTCCGATGCAGCTGTTTCAACAGGTGAGCCACTTTTTGAAAAAAAAACTAGCTCGAAATTCATTTTAGACCTATGGTTTCTTGGGCAAATATGCTTGAAATGACCCAAATAACCATAATCGCGATATATTTGTATGTTAACTCAGCTATTTTGAATTTATTTTAAAACTCAACAAAATTCGGTACAGAAAAATGTATCCAATTACTACTTAGGCCAGTCTAAGGCCGTTGGAGTAGCCTGAGAATGTTGGAAAAAGCCACAAAGAGGAACATCTTTATGGGAGATCTGGGCCGCGAATTTGTGAAAAGTTCATTTAAATTTACATTGTTAAAAAAACAGAATTTCTCTATTTCATTTATTCTATTTTTTAAAGGCCAGTTACGTCATGCCAAGGCTTTGTTTCTGTGGGAGTTCCAGTACTCCTAAAATTTTAAAATCGACCGGAACTCTTTTGCTGTGACACTATCTCTAAAGATGGCATATGGGTTTTCTCTCTCGCACAAGAGCAAGGAGTTAAACAAGTTTTTATTTTATAATTCAATAAATTTTCATGTAAATGTTCAACCTTTTCATCAGATTATATATGCAGTTGTCTAGGCCATTAAATTTTAGTATAATAAAGTGCAAATTTGAGGTAGCTAGGACTTACCGTTGATTTTTGGCAATTCTTTACGCCTTTTCTTTCATAAAAACAAATTCGAAAATACCTTGTATGGGAAAAAATGCTCTATAATCAACGGCATTTTTTTTAGAAACTTCAAACTTTGCTACAAAACTGCATTTTCCATAAAAAATTCAAATCTCAAAAAAAAAACATCTGATCAAAAAGTTGATTTGCATGAAATTTATTAGAAATTCTATTTTCGTGTTTCTTGTTGTAGTATTAACCATGCTTTTATGAGGAACTAGCGTGAAACAAATTTAAATCAAATTGTTGTAAAAAAAATTCTGGGAAAATACTTTAAGCCTGGATTGTATGTACGTATTAGGGAGCTCCTTAAAATATCAACATCATAGGGCACAAAACTTTACAAATTTGAAATTCGAAAAAAATTATATTCTCTTTCATTTGGTACCCATATTCTTATTTTACACGCACTAATTTTTTTAAATAATTCTATGGCTAACTGCACTGGGAACAATTATTATATTTGAAAGTTATTGAAACTTGAAATTGAGTGCAATCATTTTTGAATACCGTTAAATGTAAATAGAACTCAGATTTTATGTATTCGGTCGACATTTAATACCAAGTACTTTGAATCAATCCTGAGTACATGTATCAAAGCGATGATTGGAATAGAGTATTTTTGAGTACTAAGTACTTTCGTGTTCTTTAAGTTCAGAGTTCGATATTTTAATATTTTGGGTTTTTTAATTGTTCAAGTAAACCTAAGCCTCTTTTCTATTCAAATTCTTCTTATTATTACTGCATTTTATACCGCAAATATTTGTACTTACAGATGTGTGTAAGTATGTAGAAACAAAACGCAGCATTTATGTATATTTCAGTCGTTTATAGTCCAAAGCTTATTGGCCAATTTACTATTTCTACTCAACAATTTATTTAATTGATTGAAATCACTTACCAAATTTAATTAAATTTTGTTATTTGTTTGCACACAAAATGTACAAAAGCTTCGCAAACATACTCTTAAATCCGTTAAAGCGCTTAAGTAGTGGAATTGCATATACATATGTATGTACATTAGGGTGGTCCAAAAATGCATGTGAAAAGGTAAAGTCGGAACTTATATGCTCTCACCCCCTAGGATTTTTCTTAACTAAAAAAAACATGTCCTTATTTTTTTATTTTGAAATCACAAAATATTTAGAGGTCGCCCAAAGTTTTCCATGTATTTTATATGGGTAGAAAACACGTTTTCCTAGAAATGGTATAGAATTCTTAAAAATCAATATTTTTCTATCGGAAAACTATGTTTATCTGCAAGAGACTCCCAATAATAATACCCGATTGTTTATTTAACTAGTTTTTCATCGCAACTATAATTTATTGGTCCGCCAAAAACCCACAAAAACCCCAAAAAATGCCATGGGGGGAACAATAAAAAATCGTTAGTATTAAAAAATGGTTAAATAAACAATTGGGTATTATTATTGAAAGTCTCCTGAAGAGAACCAGAGTTTTCCAATCGAAAACTAATGATATTAAATAATTCTACACCATTTCTACGAAAAGTTGTTTTTTCCCTATATAAAAAAACATAGAAACACTTTGATCGCTGTGAGCGACCTCTAAATATTTTTCTGATTTCAATATAAAAAAATAGGGGCACACTTTTTTCGATATAGAACAATCCTAGGGGATTAGAGCATTCATTACAATTCCGACATTACTGGTTTTTGGACCACCCTAATGCATATGCGTATATATGTGCACTACCACACACACACACACAAATAAATGCACTTTAGGTGTGCATGAGATGCAATCCAATTATGCAAATTGCCTGCACTATTATCATTTTTCTGCCATAAAATTGCAGCAATAAGATTATAACCGTTGCAAAGCGTAGCAGTAAATCAAATTGTTGAAAGCCAAACATTTTATTATACATTTTGCAGTTGTAGCCACCTACATAAATACATACACAATTAAAAGTCTACGTTGTGTGGGTGAAGGGAAAATCTGGGTAGTAAATAAGTACTTATTTAAGGAAATTTTTAATTATAATTTGAAAAGAAAAATATTTACCCGGCTTAAAAGAAGTCAAATATATGTACATACATGCCTTCAAATTCGTCACACGATGGGTTAATTTATATAAATTTGTATGTATGTAAAGTATCTACTCATGTGTTCGATAATTGATTCAGTAGTATGCTAAATAAATAGTTTATGTAGACTTAATATACGCTCTCCTTGATTATAAATTAATTTGATTACATACATTGTATATCCTCCAAACTCATTCATTTCCCTTCGCTTATATATATCATCTTTTCTTCTCCATTTCTTTCGCTTTCAGATCCAGATAGTGGCGCAGCAGTGAATAATGTTATTGGCGGTCCACCTGGCAGCACACCACCACCCTATGCGTCCGATGGTAAAATGGTGAATTCCCAAGGCGGTGGTGGTGGTGGTGGTGGTGGCGGCGGCGGCGGTAGTGCAGGCGCTGGCGGTGTTTTACTCTCCGAGTTGCCAGAACCACCAATACCGGTGTCCGAAATTGGTCCGATCCCACCGCCGCCCATGTTTTCCACACCGAGTCCAACATTGATTGCTGGTCGGCCACATGGGCCGGGTGCAATGAATGATCAAGGTTATCAGGATTATGATTATGATGGTAGGCATGCTGAATGTGAATGCGAATGTATATGTATTATTAGTTATGTGTATGTACATATGTACTACGTATGTGCTTAAAATGATATTTCTGCAAGTATTTGTAAGCGCGTGATTTGTAGGGACTCTTTTTATATTTTGCGCAAGAAAACTCAATTTGTTTTTAAGCTTTGAAGTCTTCAAAATATTAACTTATATTTTTTAAGAATTTACGAACATTTTCTAGATTGTTTTGCTCCCTCGTCAAATAGATTTGTATTCGTTTAGTAGTAAAAACAGCGGCGGTGAAACTGACTGACTGCAGCCTAACTAACCCTGATTTAAAATGACTTCAGTGAGAGACTTCAATCAAATGACACCAATTTTCTTCAAAAAAGGGGATTTCAATTAAATGACTAACAAAAATGGACTTCAATAATTAGTCACCAGAAGTTAGTCTGAATAGTGACTTTATTTTTTCAGTTTTAGTCATAGAATACAACAATTTATTGCAGTAAATTACCAAAAAATTAAGTGACTAATTATTCACAAATGACTGGATACTATTACAACTCTGCTACCCTGCCAACTTCTAGTTCATACGCTCTTGAAATAAAATTTTTGCTGTTTTGATGAATTTTGTCAATGTGCGAAATTATGTCACGATATTATTTATACTCCTTTGACACAACTATTAAAAAGCTAATTAATTTATTGGGGAAAAAATTTATTTTTGCAAAACCACTGCAATTTTTAATAATTTTTAGATATTTATAACCCATAAAAATCAACAAATGAAATCGATCATATCCATTTATACAGTAACTCAATATTAAAGTACTAAATATTTTGTGCCACGTGTCATTTGTCCTAATGACTTCCTACAATATTGAGGACACTGCGTTTACTAACCCTCTAGTTTCTTCGAAAGTAGTAGGGTCCCCAAAATCCTGGATTTTGCTTAAGTCTTTTGGCCTTATTCATAAAAAATAAAATAGGTTTAAAGAGCTCTATAAAGAGACATTTTCATACAAAATTTCGATTTATAAAGCAGTTAAAGTGTTCTTTATTTTTTATGAATTTGGGTATTTGTCTGTATTTTGATGATAATTTCCCAGCCTTTTTTTGATGTAATAAAGATTCGATGGCTGATATTTGGAGTGAACCATTGTATCCTTTTGAATTAGCCAATCTCGTAAAAACTAAACGCGTAGCTCAATTCTTCTATCTCTAAAGTTTCGTCTTATGTTGGCATACAAATGTTTTTTGAAAATAAAATCGAATATTTGTCCAAGTTATAAACAGTAATACATTAAAATATGGCAAAATTTAAATATTAAATTGTCCTGAATGACACACTTTATCATACAAAAAAAATTTTATAATTGTTATAAATATGTCTAGTTGTTATAAATATGTGTTTTCGCAATAGTTTTATTTTTTGACGATATTTTTTTTTTTATTCACGCTACTATGAAAAAGCATTTATGCCGAAATATGCGCCGATCGATTACCTTTGAAAATCTCTAAAAAAAAATATTTGCGTAATTTAGTCGGTTCATTCAAATTAAACAATGTAAATTAAAAATTAAAATAATACAATTTAACCATAAATTACACGCTGTCATATTTTAAAAATGAGTTCCGTTCAAACGATATGTTTTGAGGCAGACTTTATTTCCATTAAAGTCTATCAGCAAAATATTGACAAAGTGAACTGCCGGCCGAAATGATTATTCGTTTCGATCCAATCGAAAAAAATTTGAGCAGTTTTTTTTGCGCCAAAGCAATTTTAAATTGGCGCAGGGCACGCGCAAACGAAAGCCCTGAACTCAAATTCAAATTACTATTCGAGTCAAATTCGATATCGAATACCGCAATTCGGGCACTAAATCTCCTCCAGCCTTTGCGACTTTGGCCAAAAGAGCCAAGCTTTGGCCATAAAATAGCTAAAAGGTGGCTGTTACCAAAATATAAACAGACGTAAAGTGGTCGCGATCGTTCAGAATTGGTCTCTTCAGCTGTATCCGACCAGCGCTGGCATGCATGTCACTCATACGCCATGTCTTCTATTAAGTGCCAACATGGCGTATGAGTGATTTCTACTGGGTATAACAGCAAATTAGCTAGAATAAAAAAAAAAATTCAAACGCAGCCATATTTAAGAAGCGTTTAGGCAGTGCTAAAGTTTTATTCTAGCGTTTTTTTTTTTTAATTATTTTCACTTACATATTTAGATATTTTATTGTCTTCAGCTTTTTTTATTGCCTTTTAAAATCATAGTCGATTTTTCTGGCTTCACTTTCCGCCACTGCTTGTTATTTCTTCATTTTTTTAATCCATCAATTTTATATCATGACAGGACTAGGAGTTAGTGTCATAGCGATTTATTAGTGCATCAATGAAAAATCCAAAAAGCTCAAACTTCTTTGAGTTCTTCACATTTCATGCACGTATTTCATTATTTGAACATCCTTTGTAATTCATTTTAAGCTATTTTCATTTATTTTTGCCACCCACATGCTATTGACAATGTCATTGTTTTATTATTACGTCATAGGCTTTCTATGAGCATTGTAAGCACAATTTTATCGCAAATTTTTCACTACCTCTAAAGTGTTGATAATGCTCTTGAGTTTACATTAATGGGTAATTCTTGTACGCGCATTAACTTAAACAATACATTCACATATATGTATACATATTTATGTTGAGTGTGTTATACACATTAGGGTGCATCACCAAAAAAAGTAACAGTCTTTCCACCGGAATCATTTACGTTATTATATTTAAAGACTTGCGCCTAAAAAAATACGGAAAAATATTAAGTTTTTTATGAAAAGAAAAAAAATGTTTTTAAAGTTTCTTTTCCAAAACATCACCTCAGATGATAAAAGAGTTGAAGCTTAAAAGGTTTTTCTATTTTTTTTTTTTTTTGAGCTGAGGCCGTTTTTAATGTTGTGGAAAAAGGACAACAATTTACATATAGTAGAAGTTAAAGGTCTGCATAAAAATGTTTGAACATTTATTAACAAAACAAAATAATGTGATTTTTGGTGGTATTTTCAAATCGGTCCAACTCACTTATATCTTAATATTTTTTCAAAATATTTCGGCGAAAGTCTTAGAATAAAAAAGATTTTATAATTCCGTTGGAAAAACAATACCAATTTTTTTTTTTTTTTTTTGTGATGCCCCCTAATGTGGCTACATTAAAAGGTGTACGTTCTTGGTAGTATTAAGACAATGATGCTGCTACTTAAATTTACGTTTCATTTTAAGCAGCCGTCCCCATACATATATACGTACACCTACGGTCAAAATTATAGCAGCGCGGCATTTTGGTGTAGCTCATTTTGTAACAAACACCATATAAATCCACATTTCAAACTTCGTAAAAAATTAGAAAAGTAAAAACGCCCTAAAAGATGGTAAGGAGTTTGGCGAAACGTCGGGCAGCAAAGTTAAGAAAGTCTTTTTTTTTTGCACATAAACAAATAAAATCCAATTATCCAACGATAACTAAAACTAACAATATAAAAATAAAAAATTGTTCATCGACTCATCGTTAAAAAATTCAGCAAACTTTCACCAAAAAATTTCAAACTGTATATTCAGAATAAAAAAAAAAAATAGTTATGCAATTTTATAGCCCATAAAATTTTAGATTAACAAGGTGCAAGTTTGAACTGGCAAGAAATTTCCATTGATTTTTAATATGTTTTTTTACTGACGCTGCTAGTGATTTTCTTCTATATAAAAAGAAATTTTGAGCATACTTTACGTGCACAATAGCGTCAGCAAAAATAAAATTCCAAATCAACGCGATTATTCAGTCACTTCAAAGTTGCACTTAATTTTAAAATTTAATGGGCTACAATAATATTGCATTCACTAAAATTGTTCTAAAAATTCTGAATAAAAAGTTTGTAATGTTGGTGGTGAGCATTTTTTGAATTCTTGAAATTTTTGTAAAAATTTGAAATTTGGATTTGTATGGTGTTTGGTATGTAATAAGCTAGACTTTTATAAAAAAAAATATAATAAACATTAAATAAACGAACAAAAATAGCAAACACTTTTAAGAATGTCACACTGCTATTATTTTGATCGTAAGTGTTACTCCTTTTTTATTTATTTTTTTCACACCTCATTTTAATAGTTTGTGTATCATAAATAAAAAATCTTACTTTTAACACCGAAATGTCAATGAAACTCGCTACAAATCGCTTGTGTAATCCAATGCTTGTAGAAATATTTAACATACATAAGTACGTATCGTGCACATTCCTATATACATATATCTACATACTTGTTTTTTTTTTTTATTTTGTTAAAATTAAATCCTTTTCTCGTTCAGATCATG